CGATACAAAATAGATGAGAAACTCATACCTCATTTTCATTCCATAATTTCACCAAACTCGTGTCCTTGTAGTTGAAGCGGCTGATTTCGTCCTCCATATACTCCTCAAACTGAATCGGTGTCGATAATCAGAGATTAAAATTAAAATTTTAAAAAATTCAAAATCAAATTTATACCTTTGTCTACATTGGACGAAAATCGAATGTCCGATACAAAATTGATAAGCGACTCATACCTCATTTCCATTCCGAATTTTCTCCAGAATCCTTTCCTCGTAGTTGTAGCGGTTGCATTCCTCCTCTGTGTACTCTTTATATTGAATCAGTGTTGATAATCAGAGATTAAAATACAAATTTAAAAAATAAATTTTATACATTTGTCTACATTTTACCTAACAAAAATTGTGTTTCGATACAAAATTTATGAGCAACTCGTACCTCATTTTCGCTCCAAATTTTCTCCAGAATCATTTCCTCATAGTTGTAGCGGTTGTTTTCATCCTCTACATATTCCGTCAGTTGAATTAGTGTCGAGAATCAGAGATTAAAATACATATTCTTACAAATTCAAAATTCATTATATATATTCGTCTACATTTTACCCGACAGAAATCAAGTGCCTGATCCAAAATTGATGAGCAACTCATACCTCATTTTGATTATGAATTTTCTCATGTCTCATTTCCTCGTAGTTGTTGAAGCTGCATTCATCCTCCGCGTATTCCTCCAATTAAATCAGTGTTGAGAATCATAGATTAAAATATAAAATCTAACAAATTTAAAATCAATTTTATACATTCATATAGATTTTACCGACAAAAACCGAGTGTCCGATACAAAACAGATGAGAAACTCATACCTCATTTTCATTCCATAATTTCACCAAACTCGTGTCCTTGTAGTTGAAGCGGCTGCTTTCGTCGTCCATATACTCCTCAAACTGAATCGGTGTCGATAATCAGAGATTAAAATTCAAATTTTAAAAAATTCAAAATCAAATTTATACCTTTGTCTACATTGGACGAAAATCGAATGTCCAATACAAAATTGATGAGCGACTCATACCTCATTTTCATTCCGAATTTTCTCCACAATCCTTTCATCGTAGTTGTAGCGGTTGCATTCCTCCTCTGTGTACTCTTTATATTGAATCAGTGTTGATAATCAGAGATTAAAATACAAATTTCAAAAATCAATTTTATACATTTGTCAACATTTTACCTAACAAAAATTGAGTTTCGATACAAAATTTATGAGCAACTCGTACCGCATTTTCGATCCAAACTTTCTCCAGAATCCTTTCCTCATAGTTGTAGCGGTTGCTTTTATCCACCACATATTCCGTCAATTGAATTAGTGTCGAGAATCAGAGATTAAAATACATATTCTTACAAATTCAAAATTCATTTTATATATTCGTCTACATTTTACCCGACAGAAATCAGGTGCCCGATCCAAAATTGATGAGCAACTCATACCTCATTTTGATTATGAATTTACTCATGTCTCATTTCCTCGTAGTTGTTGCGGCTGCTTTCATCCTCCGCGTATTCCTCCAATTAAATCAGTGTTGAGAATCATAGATTAAAATATAAAATCTAACAAATTTAAAATCAATTTTATACATTCATATACATTTTACCGACAAAAACCGAGTGTCCGATACAAAATAGATGAGAAACTCATACCTCATTTTCATTCCATAATTTCACCAAACTCGTGTCCTTGTAGTTGAAGCGGCTGCTTTCGTCCTCCATATACTCCTCAAACTGAATCGGTGTCGATAATCAGAGATTAAAATTCAAATTTTAAAAAATTCAAAATCAAATTTATACCTTTGTCTACATTGGACGAAAATCGAATGTCCGATACAAAATTGATGAGCGACTCATACCTCATTTCCATTCCGAATTTTCTCCAGAATCCTTTCCTCGTAGTTGTAGCGGTTACATTCCTCCTCTGTGTACTCTTTATATTGAATCAGTGTTGATAATCAGAGATTAAAATAAAAATTTCAAAAATCAATTTTATACATTTGTCTACATTTTACTTAACAAAAATTGAGTTTCGATAGAAAATTTATGAGCAACTCGTACCGCATTTTCGCTCCAAATTTTCTCCAGAATCCTTTCCTCATAGTTGTAGCGGTTGCTTTCATCCACTACATATTCCGTCAGTTGAATTAGTGTCGAAAATCAGAGATTAAAATACATATTCTTACAAATTCAAAATTCATTTTATATATTCGTCTACATTTTACCCGACAGAAATCAAGTGCCCGATCCGAAATTGATGAGCAACTCATACCTCATTTTGATTATGAATTTTCTCATGTCTCATTTCCTCGTAGTTGTTGCAGCTGCTTTCATCCTCCATGTATTCCTCCAATTAAATCAGTGTTGAGAATCATAGATTAAAATATAAAATCTAACAAATTTAAAATCAATTTTATACATTCAAATACATTTTACCGACAAAACCGAGTGTCGGATACAAAATAGATGAGAAACTCATACCTCATTTTCATTCCATAATTTCACCAAACTCGTGTCCTTGTAGTTGAAGCGGCCGCTTTCAACCTCCATATACTCCTCAAACTGAATCATTGTCGATAATCGGAGATTAAAATTCAAATTTTAAAAAATTCAAAATCAAATTTATACCTTTGTCTACGTTGGACGAAAATCGAATGTCCGATACAAAATTGATGAGCGACTCATACCTCATTTTCATTCCGAATTTTCTCCAGAATCCTTTCCTCGTAGTTGTAGCGGTTGCATTCTTCCTCTGTGTACTCTTTATATTGAATCAGTGTTGATAATCAGAGATTAAAATACAAATTTCAAAAATCAATTTTATACATTTGCCTACATTTTGCCTAACAAAAATTGAGTTTCGATACAAAATTTATGAGCAACTCGTACCGCATTTCCAATCCAAATTTTCTCCAGAATCCTTTCCTCATAGTTGTAGCGGTTGCTTTTATCCACCACATATTCCGTCAATTGAATTAGTGTCGAGAATCAGAGATTAAAATACATATTCTTACAAATTCAAAATTCATTTTATATATTCGTCTACATTTTACCCGACAGAAATCAGGTGCCCGATCCAAAATTGATGAGCAACTCATACCTCATTTTGATTATGAATTTACTCATGTCTCATTTCCTCGTAGTTGTTGCGGCTGCATTCATCCTCCGCGTATTCCTCCAATTAAATCAGTGTTGAGAATCATAGATTAAAATATAAAATCTAACAAATTTAAAATCAATTTTATACATTCATATACATTTTACCGACAAAAACCGAGTGTCCGATACAAAATAGATGAGAAACTCATACCTCATTTTCATTCCATAATTTCACCAAACTCGTGTCCTTGTAGTTGACACGGCTGCTTTCGTCCCCCGTATACACCTCAAACTGAATCGGTGTCGATAATCAGAAATTAAAATTCAAAATCAAATTTATACCTTTGTCTACATTGGACGAAAATCGAATGTCCGATACAAAATTGATGAGCAACTCATACCTCATTTCCATTCCGAATTTTCTCCAGAATCCTTTCCTCGTAGTTGTAGCGGTTGCATTCCTCCTCTGTGTACTCTTTATATTGAATCAGTGTTGATAATCAGAGATTAAAATACAAATTTCAAAAATCAATTTTATACATTTGTCTACATTTTACTTAACAAAAATTGAGTTTCGATATAAAATTTATGAGCAACTCGTACCGCATTTTCGCTCCAAATTTTCTCCAGAATCCTTTCCTCATAGTTGTAGCGGTTGCTTTCATCCTCTACATATTCCGTCAGTTGAATTAGTGTCGGGAATCAGAGATTAAAATACATATTCTTACAAATTCAAAATTCATTTTATATATTCGTCTACATTTTACCCGACAGAAATCAAGTGCCCGATCCAAAATTGATGAGCAACTCATACCTCATTTTGATTATGAATTTACTCATGTCTCATTTCCTCGTAGTTGTTGCGGCTGCATTCATCCTCCGCGTATTCCTCCAATTAAATCAGTGTTGAGAATCATAGATTAAAATATAAAATCTAACAAATTTAAAATCAATTTTATACATTCATATACATTTTACCGACAAAAACCGAGTGTCCGATACAAAATAGATGAGAAACTCATACCTCATTTTCATTCCATAATTTCACCAAACTCGTGTCCTTGTAGTTGAAGCGGCTGCTTTCGTCCTCCATATACTCCTCAAACTGAATCATTGTCGATAATCAGAGATTAAAATTCAAATTTTAAAAAATTCAAAATCAAATTTATACCTTTGTCTACATTGGACGAAAATCGAATGTCCGATACAAAATTGATGAGCGACTCATACCTCATTTCCATTCCGAATTTTCTCCACAATCCTTTCATCGTAGTCGTAGCGGTTGCATTCCTCCTCTGTGTACTCTTTATATTGAATCAGTGTAGATAATCAGAGATTAAAATACAAATTTCAAAAATCAATTTTATACATTTGTCTACATTTTACCTAACAAAAATTGTGTTTCGATACAAAATTTATGAGCAACTCGTACCGCATTTTCGCTCCAAATTTTCTCCAGAATCCTTTCCTCATAGTTGTAGCGGTTGCT